ACAAATGCTCCAGTCTATTCGTGGGGAGCAGCACGTGCTGGGAACCGAGCCCAGCGTCCCATATCGAATTATAACGTTCATATATTAGCGTAGTTGCGACGGAGTATGATAAAGTGAATGGTGCAGCATTTGGCAAATATGAAAGCAGCTCACAAATGAACTCCACTGGTAGTCGATGCGTTGTCGTCGTTCATTTGTGAGCTGCTTTCATATTCTACTCATCTCCTTCCAGTGGAGTTCGACCGCATGTCGTCTTCTTTTTTTTTCTCTTTTTTTTTTGCTTTGGGGTCTGGTCTTTATTTCAACAACCGTTCAGGGGTGTACCAACTGAGCTAGTGTAATCCGAATACAAGACTCGGACACTCAACCAACGGTTCGGCAGGCAAACACCTAACCATAAGGCTAAGTGGGCTGGGGTGAAAGTGAAGCCCCAAGATGAGCACCTCAGCCCACCCCAGCACGGAAATCCCGCGACACGGTGTACCCAACCACACTCACCCCTATGCAGCCACACTGCACATAGTACAATCTCTACGGCGGTTACTGCGCGAAAGCACGTGTAATCCGAAAACAAGACTCGAACACACAACCAACGGCTCGGCAGGCAACGACGGCCTGTTGGTGGTGTCTGATGCCCGTGTATCATTCGGTCACGAGTTTCCGTCGTCGTATTCTCACCGAGTAAAAATAATGTTCCACCAAAAAAAAAAAAAAAAAAAAAAGAATGTGCTGTGTCCACCAGGTTGTTGGAAGATGATTTGGTGAAACTCGTTCGTGTCGGAACGGGGGCTCGAGCCGGATGACAGAGAAGCGGAGTAGCAAGGACACACACATCTGCAAGTGCTGCCGGTAAATAAAATTTTATTATTTAAACTTTTAGTGAGAAATACCCTTCCTGTTGATCGGGGGGAGGGGGAGAGAGACTGCAAAGGAAAAGCAGCGGAAAGTGGTAGATAGGTATTCTTAGGGCATAGTCGCACACACACGCGCACACACACACACACACACACACACACACACACACACACAAGGTTGGTGCGAGTAAAGACGACCACTTTTGTCTCTCAGGGGTGTGGCTAACTCTGGGCGATGTGGTGAGTCCTTCTTATCCATCAGTCAAATGAATCCTGGGCAGACTGTCCAGGTTCATTCAACCTCCTGATGAGTCGGTGAAAGTCCGATGAAACCGTCTGTTCAGCACAGTCGTGCTTTTTTCGAGTGTATAGCGAATATGAAAACACACCCACACACACACACAAAAAAAAAATAAAATAAAAAATAAAAAATAAAAAAATAAAATAAAATAATAATAATAATAATAATAATGCCCCCATTGAAACGGTCTGGCAAAGTCTGCAGTTGCGCTCAGACAAGCGGCTAGGGGGAAAAAAAAAAAGTATGACCGCATTGGAGACTTGTTGGGATCTGATCTAAGGGGTGATGGGGATCCTGGCGGTGATGTGATTTTCTTGGGGGGCCAGGAAGGGGGGGGGGGGGGGGTTCTGGCAAACCCTTCCACTCCTTTCAGTTAGGTGAACTTTCATGCCAAGGTTGCTGTTGTTTCTTTGAAAGTTCTCCATGCCACCATTTCTTTGAAAAACTCTTCCTCTTTTTGGCTATAGCCATCTTCTATAAGAGGTACTTCATGTCTAATTCGTCGTTGTTTTTTTTTTCTTTTCTTTTTTGTCTGTTCTTTGTGGTGAAGCCCATTGGGACTTTTTTGTTTTTTGTCGTCCTTTCGATTTCCTCATCAGGACTTTTTATCTTACAATGTGTTTTTGATATTTCTGTCTGTTTGTGTGGGGGTTGAGCAGGTGGAGCTACCCTGATCTTTGAGACTGAGCTTATGTCTGTGAATGGGGTGAAAGTGACGGAGTCAGATAGACAGGAGCTGTGATTCAGGTGGGTGCCTTGAATTATTGGGAAAAAAAAATAAAAGCCTGGGTGCCATCTCCAAAAAAAAAAAAAAAAAGGAAAAGAAAGAGCAGCGCATTGAAAAAAAAAAAAAGAGCAGCACATGAGGGGAAGGAAGTTATGAACTAGTGGAGCGGTGGGGAAAGGCTTTTTTTCCTCCTTTTTTCTCTTTTTTTTTGGGGGGGGGGGAAGGCTTTTTTTCTCCTTTTTTTTGGGGGGGGGGGGGGGGGGGGGGGTAAGTTCAGTACAGTCACAAAAAAACAGTTTGAAATTACTCGGGCATTCCCCCGAACACAACATACCCCCACGTAACCCTTCCTGACCGGAAAGGTAGCTTGTTTACATTGTCCGAAGTGCAATTTGATATTCTTTTTTGCCCGAATTGTATTTTCAAATTTTCAACTTTTTTATGACTACCACGGACGTAGTTTCCCATTTTTTTTCTTGCCCCTGCTGCACTCCATTTGGGAACCTGCCAAAAAGTGGCACTCTCTAAGCGAGCGGTAGTTTTGAATGCAGCCATGGTTCCGAGATTGAGACTAGATGCCCTGAACTTCATGTGACGTGTGTCGAGTCTTTTTTTTTTTTTTTTTTTTTTTTTTGAACACTCTTTTCTTCGGAGAGTTTCCCCTTTTTAAACTTAGTACGGTGGGAGTTCGTGATAATTCATGAGGCTCCACTGCCCACAGATTTCGTTGCTCGTGAAAGAACATTTCCAGCCCCAACGCCCTCATCCGAGGGGCAGTAGTGGATTGGATGGCCTCAGGGCGTACTCACGCTAGCACTAGCGTAAATGTAGCCGACCACGTTTATGGTCGGACCTGTATGCATCTGGCCGCAATTCGGTCCAGAAATAAGTAAAGTACTAAAAAAGTGCTAGTGCGAGTGTGCCCTCTGCGCAGTCGTGCACATCTTCAACTGTTCTGCAAAACACATCTCGGAAAAAGGCACCGGAAAGCAAAAAAAAAAAAAAAAAAAGTTATTGGAGAAAGACGCCGTGCTCTGCATTATTCCCTGAATCTGTAGTGGATCGCGGCCAAGTGAGGAGAACTGATTTGTCAGTGAAGCGGAAGAGAAATACACTGAAGGGAATTTTGCTGAAATCGGGCAGTGGAGCCCCTCACGAGTCTTCGAGGACACTCCTCGCTCGAAGTATAAGGCGGTGGAGCACAAAGTCTTATGAAAAGAGGATTCTGATAAGAAAAATGTTGATGGCCTCAGGATTGGGCTTTCCTATATGTATCTAACTGGCAGACAAAAAAAAACAGAGTTACGATGTCACGTATAACCGTTAAACGAATAGTACCTTTGCCGCGTGGGAAAATAGTGGGCGGGCCTCGGTTGGTCCTCTTGACTTTTTTCGGAGGCTGAAACGAAGTGACGACCGCCGAAGGTACTAGTGGTTTTAAGTGTCAACGGTTTTGAAAATGTGAGTTTTTATCGGCCGAAAGGTGATCGGCGAAGTCGGAAACTGCCTGCATTCTGTCGTGAAAGTGCGATGTAGGAAGGAAGGGGGTTGTGAGGACTGCGGAAGCCCTTTCAATGAGGGCTGCCAAAGCTCTGGGCATTCAACCTACACAGTGCGAGGACTGAGCCCTCACGGGGCCGCTAACAGGCATGCAAATGTTCTCGGCTGTGGGCCCCAGCAAGCGTTGTGCCCACCATAAGTGAAGGCGGGCCTGAATATCCTCAGAAGGCCTACTTTCGACATTTTCCATATGTGGGTACTCAGACAGTTGCAGCACGCCAGTCGGTTACACAGAGATGTGAGCCTCGCGGCTCTTTCCAGCAACAAGGGCTGCGCTGTACAGTTGAGCCGGGGCCGCGTGGTTGCCGGAACAATACAGAGAAGATTAGCATGGGCCCTGAGCAAGGACGACGCATACGTCGCTCGTATCATGGCACTCTTAAAAAACAAACAAGCAAGGATGACACATGTAAATTGAGGTCCGAATTTGAAAAAAAGAAAAGAAAAAAAGGACAGAGAGAACAAAGAAGGAAAAAAAAGGGAGAAAGTCTTAGTACAAGACTACAAGTACATGTGTAGCAACAGATCGGTCTGTAAGAATGCGTAGGGAAAAGAAATGCACGAACGAGGACAAAGTGGAAAGGAAAGGGTGTGTAGGTCTCAGCATTACGTGTGTAATGTTTTTTTTTTGGTCATAATAATTGTAAGCTTGCGTAAAATGCAGGGGGTTGCTCGGATGTGTGATGTGTGTCTGGTCTGCAGCAAAGCTTGCACCTCTGTCCAGGAGAACCACCCACCTATAACAGGAGGCAGAGGCAGAGGTGGAACGGATTTTTATGTGCCAGCGCAGAGGAGAAGGTAGTCTCTTCTTCGCATTTTCAAGTGGCAGCATTTGTAACAATGCAAGAATATGTGTTGAATAGCATCAAGAGCACTGAAGTGGAAACGCCAATGGCAGCAAGACAAGCTAGGGAATGCTTGGGAGAGGTGGAGGGATTGGTAGCAAGGGAGGGAGATAAGGTAACCAAGGAGGAGGAAAGAGAGAAAGACGATAGGCAAGAAGACGGTCAGCACGGGTATAGTAATGGAATCGACGTAGAGGAAAAGGAGCAGGATGGCGACGACGACGGTGATGATGGCGGTGAGGGGAATCGAGGGGATGACAGTGATGGCGGTGACGAGGAGGAGGATGAGAGAAGTGTCGGGGAAGAAGCCCTAGAAACACACAAGGGTCAACATGAAAGTAGTAAACGAGTTGAAGTAGAAGAAGAAGAGAAGCAGGATGGCGACGATGATGACGATGACGACGATGATGGCGATGATGACGGCGACGAGCTTGAGGAGGGTGAGAGAAGTGTCCGGGCACAAGCGAGAGAAAGACAGATGTGTGTTGAAAGGCATGTCGAGGGTGTGACCGGTGGTAGGACTGTGGCAGATTATGGGTGTAGAAAAACTGTGGAGGCTGTGGGGGACAAGCATATGCGTGCTAGCTTGTGGAGGCATGGGCTGATGAGGATGACATGTGGCATGTCAGACAACGGACATCTCGGTTCAGCAACAACGCAGTTTGCATGTTGTTGCAGATCTCGGAGTAGCAATGCCGAGGCACAACGGAACTCCGCAGAGCGGCTTAACCGAGGGGCAAAGCCAGCAGAGGTCTATGGCTTTGTGTCTTCGATTGTGGTGGCAGTTGCCTATGTTGTGTTTCTGGTGTGGGCCTACACGCCTGAGGAGTGGCTGCATGCTATAGGAGTGACCTATTACCCAAGCAGGTACTGGGCGATTGCAATCCCGGCATTCGTTCCGGTGGCAGTGGTTTTTGCGGTGAGTGTGTATCTTAGCTTATGCCTTATTCACACACAGCCACCCGATTCGGTGAACACAATCTACGATGACTATGCAATCTCTAGACAACAAGCGGCTGAAGAGCAGAAACTGGCATTTGCAGAGGAGGAGACGGAGGAGGACACCGGCGAGGAGCTGCCTATCCCGCCCGTCTGCGATATCCCGATAATTGAGGTGAATGACATTTTGTTTGGGACAAGGTCCCAGTTCCACAGCTGGGACTTTGTCCCAGATAGGTACCAGCAGCATTCCCTCCCTCCCAGAGGGAGGGACTGACCCAGGCTGGTACCACAGCTGGGACCTTGTCCCAGGCTGGTACCATAGCTGGGACCTTGTCCCAGGCTGGTACCAGCATCTGGTACTAGCAGCTGGGACTATCTGGGAAGAGTGGAGCACTACTGGTACCAGGAGTGGGGAGGAGGAGGGCAACTTCTCTGTGGCAGTGGCCGACCTTGCCGGAAGAAGAAACCTCAGTCTGTCCGTTGTGCCATGCCTGCCGCGGCTCCGTCAGGCCTCTGCTGTTCCTCTCAAGGGGTTTACCTTCTGTGGGCATTCTGTGAGAAAGCACCTGTGGATCGTGCACCTACTCGCCTAAGGATTGTCTTGCCCTCAGTGTGCAGTGGACGGCCTTGGCGGAAGAAGAAACCTTGTTCTATCCGGTGCGCCATGCCTGGTGCGGCTCCGTCAGGCCTCTGCTGTTCCTCTCAAGGGGTTTACATTCTGTGGGCATTCTGCGAGAAAGCACCTGTGGTGGGATCGTGCAGCCTACTCGTCTAAGGATTGTCTTGCCGTCGTGTGCTAGAAGTGCCCGCGACGGACAAGGAAAATGTGGCCTTCAGGCAGGTTTGTACTGCTTATTGTTGAAGTCTTCGCAACGGATGAGAGTGGCCGGTGGGCGGGTGGACTGTCGCTTGCACGTGACAGTAGGCAGCTTCCTTTCGTGGTGATGTGATCACACAATGCAGCCTTTGGTTTTTCTGTTCTTATTGATCTCGCATCGCTTTGACGTCATTCGGTGACTCTCGTTGGAAGTCGTCTCAAACTTCTTCTGCACAGCTCCATGTTTTGAACGCAGATTTTTGCGCAGGCATATCCGAAAGGAATGGAGGGATCTTTGTCCTTTTCAGATTTTTTGACGGGCGCCTGAAAAAGCACTGAAGTATGGCAGGGGGCTTGTGAAGACGGGTTTGTCGATGGCTTATTGCCAGGGGTGGCCTGGCGTTTGGCTATGCGAGATTTTCGACGTGCAGTACATATTCTGTGCAATGTTATGTCTCGTTGTGTGAGTATTGACGCCGCCCTTTCATCCCCTCGCATCTGATTGGATTCCCATTTGTTCTTCGAGATATGTGGCCATCCATTCCCAGCCAGAGTTCTAGATTGAGTGAATCAGCACCTTGCCTCTGCGAGATGAGGTTTGTCATCATCTTCCCTCTAGCTCTTGCATTGTTGTAGTCAATCTGATGGTTATCTTCTACCCTGCTCCCCCCCCCYCCCCCCYCSGGCCCTCCCCCCTCCCCCCTCCTCACTCCCATACACCCGCCCTCAGGTATTCATCCGCCAAAGTTCGATCACTGGGGGATTATATCCTACCCTAAGAAATCCTTCTTGTTGTGCTGTGGGAACTACACCATCGTCCTCCAGGTCGTCACTGTGCAGGCAAAAACGATCAGTTATCGCGGACTCTGCTTTGTCGAACTGAACATTTTCCACTCCCAAAGGAATTATTGAACCCATTGCTGTACATTGAAGCTCGGCATTCAGGAATAAGGTCTCAAGTTTCGGTAGAAGGCTCCCGCACTGGTGGTGCAAGCCAGCGTGAGCACCTCTTTGTGAATCAGGTCAGCCTCCATGGATGGAAGACTAACGAACATCTGGCCCCTTGCTATATACCCATCCAATGGACCAGTCGGGCAGACTGTCGTTGTTTTATTCTGAATGGTGCAAGGCCCACGATGCTTCTACTTCAATAATGTGTGTGTGTGTGTGTGTGTGTGTGTGTGTGTGTGTGTGTGTGTGTGTGTGTGTGTGTGTGTGTTGTGCGCATACGTATGCGTGTGTGTGCGCGCAAGTGTGTGTGTGTGTGTGTGTGAGAGAGAGAGAGAGAGAGATGCATGCACAAGACTGTGAGGGGGCCCATGATATGACATGAATAACTGCTGATGGTGGGTATTCCATGAGCCCTGGGCCAAATGTCACCTTGACACCTTTGAACCCCCGGAATTCATCAGTATGAGCATGTCCAGGTCCAGACCCTCCATTGTACTCCAAAAAGTGCATGCAACAGGCAGCATACAGAAGCTGCAAGCAACTACATACCGGACATCAACCGGGCAAAGGCAACATACGCAAGAGCCCTCCCTCCACTTGAAGTACACACAATGCTCTGTCCAGCAGACACCCATCAGTCAAGCAAAGCACTGGCCACAGGAAGGAACAGCGAGATCGTCCTTGCCCTATAACTCCTTGCCGATCGAATGATGCCCAACCTACACAAGATATGATCTTGAGGCGAGAAATCAGATCTTAAGCGAGATGTTGCCCCTGTTTTCACCAGAGATTAACCACACCTCGAGAATCACAAATGAACAGAGGAAAGGGGTGTTGCACAGTGCACAACAGCTATGGATGTAGGCCAAGACCATGTATTGCCTCTACGAACCGGATATGGAACCCCCCCCTCCACTTAAAAATAAAAAGGGCTTAGAGGTGGTAGGCCTGCGGCGCGTAGAGGGAAAGCAAGCTTGAGGGAACAGCACACGTGTGAAGTGGCATTTTTAATGAAAAGAAGCTAGATGTTTCACGGAGCAGTCAGATAAATTAAGCGACTGATTCTTAGACTTCCCGGGGAGTCATTTCGTTCTGACGTGGCCATATACGTGAGGTGTGTGCTTCAGGGCTCAGCCGACTGGTCTTCAAATGGGTTCTTTGTTGCTCAGCGTACCGGACCGTACTGACTAGCGGCACTACGCACCAGGGTTAACGATTTCCCCGATGCTGGTTTATTTTTTTATAGGCATGCAGTCGAAGCTCGCGTTGGGGGGAAAAAGGCGGTCTGGGGGTTTAAACCACCGCTACGTTTGACAGCCATTTTTTCTCCGACATGATGTTCCACAAGTTTTGGGCGCGTGCCGCTTGAGCAAGGTGGTTGGCGGCGCCAGCAAAAAGGGGAGGACAGCACAAAAAAGTCAATTCTAGCCTCATGAGAAAAAAATGTGTTTTGTTTTGGCATGCAGGCTGTTTCCAGCCTCCTGAAAAACCCTTTTCGGCTCCTCCGAGATAGCGGCGGTTTTAAACCACGAGTACCTTTCCCCGCTTGGGAAACAAATATCATGATGCGGCTCGTTAACCATAACTTTTGGGCGCCGGGCCGCTGCTGATAAATTTCGTTTTCGGTGTTTGTTGTGTGTCTGGCCTGTGAAAGTCGTGGTGAGGGGCCCGCGGCCGATATATGTCGAAGATACGGGTGTGCTGGTCTGGTGTTTTTTTAACATTACACACCATCGAAGGGTTCATCTACCTCCAAAAAAAAAAAAAAAAAGGATAACAAGGGAGCTTGTAGAGATAAAGGGCCCCTGTTCCAATACGCAACATCCTATATTTATTTGAATGTATAGGCTTCATAATAGGGGTGAGTGTAGGGTCCGTAATAGGGATATGAGTAGGACCTCCACATACATGTACTATAGAGTGACGAGTAGTGGAGGGAGGCCTAGAGAAACTGACTTCGAAGCAAGGCAATAACGATTCGTGTGCCTGAGAGTAAACGTACCCAGGGCTCTGTGTAGAGGAGGGCATTAAGGGCCTACTAGTTGGGCCACTTGCCTTCCATCATTTGAAAATGCGCCTGGACAGGATTTTTTCCGGATGCATTCAAAATCTCGGAGAATGTTAGAGTGGTGCATCTGGGCTCTAAAAATTACTACTACTATTTGTCACAAGCCTCAAGACGGAGAGTCGTAAGGAAATTGGCCCTTTTTTTTTTCTTTTTTTTTTTTTGACACTGGCATGTATTGCAAAACTGGGACTCTGTTGGTAACAAAAAAAAAAAAAAAAAAAAAAAAAACCTGGGACTCTGTTGGTAAGGCACACAGGTGACATTCAGGAGGTCTTGGGTTCAATCCCCATTGGCCTCACGTACCTTGTTGGGTGAGCTTGGCGCCTGCTGCCTAGAGATAGGCTGTTGGTCCCTTTGAGTGGCATTTAGCAGAGACTGCTGATGTTCGTAGGGGGAGGAGGCTGGAGGCGAGGCACAGTGATGGGCCCACCGAAGAAGCTCGGTCTTGATGCTACTGGCTGATGACCTGCTGTAGCAGGTATCACACCTGCTGGTGGGTGCAGCTTCCACATGTTCCCTCGTCGGAGGCTTGAGCATGGATGTGGCTGCTCCGGGGGTCCCCGTAAAACCATAATGAAAAAAAGAAGGGGCCTCTAAAGGCCATCCTGACCGGATTTGCCAGGTACTGATTGACTTGTTTGGGCCTACAGCCTTTAATAAACATAATTATTGATAAACAACTGGGACACCGAGGTGAACATTTGACGTGGGTCCCGGGAATCGACCAGTTCCGGAGACCCGCAGGGGCCCATGTGGCCGTGCGGAGGTTTCCCAACGTCACGGGGTGGGCCCACAACGTTTTTGGTTTGTTAAGACTTAAAAACATCCAGTCTGATGTTTTATTTGATGTTTTTAACAAACCAGAAACGTTGTCGAAGACAGCATTTTTTGGTGATCCTTACCAGGGATTGCGTCCAGATGCAAAACAAGCCAATTACTTCAAAGTGCAGGCGTTAGGAAGAGTCGTAAGGGGCAAGGAAAGGATCATAACTGGAAGACCTTTCATAGTCGTAGAACGCAAGGTGATTCAAAAGATGAGCCTGGACTTGTCAGCTGTGAAATTAGCAAATGGGATCATATCAGAAATGATGAGTTTCAAGGCCAAGTCACCTACGGTTGTCTTGTCTGGGTGGATGTTGCAGATCACAGGATTGAGGCAAGACTGAGGTAGGCAATACGATCTTTGTTCATTATCACATACAGCCTGATACAGCCTGGTGGAGGATCAGGAAGTCAGGGCATTCTCACACTAGGCCCGCAAACCCCGAAATTGCAAAATGAGCGGCCAGATTGAGTCCTTGTAAGAGGACTGGATCTGGCCGCTCATTTCGCGATTTCGTGATTTTGAAGGGCTAGTGTGAGATCAAGCATGCTAATTTTTTATCTGCGCAGCAGGGTGGAATTGCTGTTGTCATCGTGGTAGTCTACACCCACAGACACCCATGCAATTGTAGACCACAACCATGCACATGCATACATGCATTTGCACACACACACACATAGCCCCCTCCCTCACACACACATGCACAAACACACACACACACACACACACACACACACACACACACACACACACACAGAGAGAGAGAGAGAGAGAGAGAGAGAGAGAGAGGCTCGGGTCTGGGATCGTAACATGCCATTGGTTGTCCCTTGCCGAATGGGCGAGCAAAGTGAGTTTATGCTCATGATGGAGTTGGTTTCGGAGAATTGCTAAGGCTGTTGCCCGGATTGCTGCGAGTGACAATCACTACTGTCTTCAATTGAATGGAAAGGTTGGTAATTCTGCTGTATCTGGACTGAAAGTTGCACTAAATACGTATATGATGACCGGGCGTTCTACCGTCTTCACTTGAATAGAATGGTCGGTAACTACTGCCGTATCTGGACTGAAAGTTGCACCGAATAGAGATACGATGACCGGGCTTTCGTTTTGGGTATAGACAGGATTGAAGGGTATAATAGCTGACTTTGGACAAAGTGGTGAGCCCTTATCCGTGAGTCGAATGCCCCCGAGACACACTATTGGGGTTTCAATCTACCGCTGAGGCTGTAGACGGACCCTTGGGGGTTAATCTACCCATGAGGCTGTGAAAGGTTTTTTTTTTTTNGATTTATGCCAGACGAGGACAACGCTGACTGTACAACCGAAGCAACGATTGCGATGGGAAAAGGTCTTCCGCCCTTCAGCTGCTTATATGCATGACAGAGGGGAAGGCCGAATGTGTGTGCTTGAGAGTCCCGCTGTGTCGAATGGGCCTTGCTCCACTACACAACACGCTATATGTATCTGGAGCTGATGGTCGTGGCTGTACATTCAAAATGTTGATCTCCTCCGAATGTACTTGATCCAGAAGCGCGTCCAAATGCATCTAGAATGTTGACTACTCTGAGGGCTAGTGTGGATTGTTTTCGTTTTTGTGGAGGTAGCTGCACTTCGGCCAGTAGAAGATTTCAAAATTTATTTGTTGGCCACTTTGCGTTGGCGGAAAGCTTCAACTCTATGTTCTTTTTTATTTTTTTTTGGGGGGGTAAAGTAATTTTTTAATTCAATTCTCTTCTTTTTTTTTGAAGCTTTGTGCCGTGATTGTTTTATGTGCACAAATAGAGAATATTGAGAATTCCGTCCAGGCCGGCGGAAAGGTCGCATGCAGATGTACTGCGAAGGCATTGCCCTGCTTAGAAAGACAGCTCAGTCAAACGGGGACGCCCGCAAAGTGTGGATGCACAGGCGGTACTGTCATGATGTTGATGTCAGGCTGCTTTTTTTTGTGTTTTTTTCGTTTGGGTCCTTTTCTTTGCATTTGCGTAAATGAAAAAAAGCATTGTTTATGTGTGTTCTGAAAAAAGAAAAGCATTGCATTTGGACACCGTTTTACATGATGCTAGTCGGTCCGAGCCCCTGGGAATAGAGTTGGAGAATTTTAATTAATTTAATTAAAAATAAATAAAAGAAAAAATAATTACTAGACGACAAAGAACCAGAAGGCGAAGGACTTGGAGAAGCTCCCCCTTCAGTTACAGCGGGTACTTCCATTCCAACTATAAAACTGCGCAACGGTTCTATTTCTGAGATGACTTTTTTTTTTTTTTTTTTTTTGAACAAATTCTCCAATCTATT